GGTGGTGGTAATGGTCGGGCTCTATGTGCTGCCATGTTCGTCGAGGGGGCGAGGGGGCGGGACACCCCTCTCGGGGCTCTTTTGGGATTTCGAGTGGAACGGATTTCGACATATAATGTCGAAATCCGTTCCATTCATGTTTAGCAGTTTTTGTGACTGCATTTTGTTCTTGATTAGATTCCAACCATTAATCATATAACCCTAACCCTAACACCAAACCAGCAACCCTAACCCCTAGTGCCAATCTTGGGGCCATCTTGAGTGGAACGGATTTCGACACATAATGTCGAAATCCGTTCCAATCAATTTTGGCAATTTCTCCCTCTGTCCCTCCCTCTCGCGCCCATCGCCTGGAGCGCGCGGGAGTCGGAGGCAACCTCGAGGAGACCCCCGAAACCGGTCGCGCCGATGCGGGCGCCCTGCTGGGTGATCTTCGGCGCCTGCACGGCGATCGATGCGTGGGTCTTCCTTGCAGGAAGGCGAAGGCGCAGCGTGTCGATCGCCACCTCGTTGATCTCGCTCCCCTTGGGGCGCGGCTGGGTAGAGTACGCCATCTTGAAGATGTCTGGCCACCTCTGCTCGAACTCCTCGACGCTTGGCGTGCAGGTCTTGACAAGTCCGTGATGGGCCAACCTCACGCGCTGACTGGCCAACTTGATGTGCCCCTTCAAGTCGCGCACCTTCTGCAAGCAGTCATTTGCGTTCACCTGGACGCTGCTGTCCTTCTCATCCGCGCGGGCCAGGACGTAGATGGCGACTGCCTGCTTCACAGTCGTCTCGTTCGGGTGGGTGCACCCGATGGACTCCAAGAAGTTCGCCATCTCCATCATCGCAGCCTGGTAAGGAATGTCCACGTTCTTGATTGTAGCCCAGATGTCCTGGGCCATGTACCTCTGGAGGTAAAGGTTCTGCTGGGTCGGCCTGTTCTCCTGCTTCTTAGTGTCGTCGGTCTTGGGCCCCGTCGTCTCCTGGTTGATCTTCCTGGCCAGGCAGCCGAAGGGAGTGTTCTGCACGAACTTTATGATGCTGATCGCCTCCTTGATGTCGATGCTATCCATTTCGGCGATGCTCTTCTCCAGCATGCCGAGGTGCTTGCAGGGTGCCAGGGTCGATGCCGTCAGATTTGCCGAGCGTGTCGATGTACTCGAAGCTCGTCTGCATAGCCGCCATCAATGCCATCTTGGCTGGTAGAAAATCAGACGGTCCTTGAAGAGTCGGCGAGCCGTTCAGGACATCGAGCCTAAACGGCAGTCGATGAGGAAATCCCGCCATCTTGGCCCCTCCACTTTGGGCAACTCTGGCACGTAGTTCTGGGCACCTCTTGGGGCCCGGGCCGTCTTGATTGAGGTCTTTTCTGGGCCGACCTTGGGCCGCGCTGGTACGTCTTGGAGCCCTCTTCGGGCCGTGGAGGCCGACCGAGGGAGAGGAGGGGAGAAGCGAGCAGGAGGGGGAGGGGGGGATGCTCAAACTCGCAAGCTCGCGAGCCTGGTCCAGCGACGGTGCGTGGCTGTCCAGGTACGCTCCAAGTACGGTCTAGGTACGGTCGGTTGTGCTGTCCAGGTACGGTCCAGGTACGTTTGGGCGTCCAGGTACGGTCCAGGTACGGTCCAGGTACGTTTGGGCGTCCAGGTACGGTACAGGTACGGTCCAGGTACGGTCCAGGTACGGCCGCCGCCAGCCTTTTGGGCGCAGGTGGTCTAGGGCGCTTCCCTTTCCAACCTCCTGCTTTTCCCTGCTCGGGAGGTTTACCCCCCCCCCCCCCCTGCGTTTTGGGACGTGGGGGGGGGGGGGGGGGGGCGGCGGACCCATAGCAGCGTCCAAGATGGCCCAAGATGGCTCCAAGAGGGCCTCCGAGAGCGCAAGATAGCCTCCAAGATGGCCCAAGATAGCGGTAGACGGGTCAGGAGTGTTTTCTCGTTTTTTGCTTCCGAAGGGCTCTTGAGGCCTCAAGATGGCCCCAAGATGACCCAAGACAGCCCCACGAGGGGCCCAAGAGAGCCCCACAAGGGGCCCAAGAGCGCCCAAGAGCGTTCCAAGAGCGGGCCAAGAGGGCCCCAAGACGGCATGTTTGAGGGTGGGGGGGGGGGGGATATCTTTTTGGGCAAGAATTGCCCCCCCCCCTTGATCCCCCCCTCCTTTAGCCATATAAGGACCAAGACGGCCCCGAGAGGCCTCCCAGAACCCCCCAAAGAGCCCCAAGAGGGCCCCAAGACCCTCCAAAAGAGCTCCAAGAGGGCCCCAAGACGCACCAAAAGAGCAACAAGAAGCCCCAAGAAGGCCCTAAGAGGACCTCAGGAGAGCCCCAAGAAAGAGCCCCAGGAGGCCCCAAGAGGGGCCCAGGGCTCCCCATGCACGACGGGGCACGTTTTCCAACCCTTTGTGTTAGCAGGCGTTCCCAAGGGGCCTGCGCGTGCCAGCATAGCTGGCGCGGCAAAATATCCCCAGGTGCAGGGCGCACCTCGAAGCCACAGTTACCACATCAGTCCGAAATGAGCGAGCACATCTTCGCCGACAACCCCTTCGCCTCGTCCATCGCATTCTTCGCATCCTTGAAGAAGGTCGCGACCACGCCCTGGGGCGCCTTGCCAGCGGCGTGCATGTCGGACGCCGTCTTGACGAGCTTCTCGACCTCCGCAGCCACCTCGTTGGCCTTGTCCAGCGTGTCGGTCGGCACCTTGGTGCCCTTGTGCCCGTTGGCCTCGCAGATCGTCGCGTGCAGGTGCAGGGAAGTATCCTGCAGTTTGCCCTCGATGGTTTGGAGACGTTCGTTCTGCTGGGGCGTGAGCTCCTTGATCGGCTTCTCCTTGGGCGTCTTATCCTCGGGCTTCTCCTCGCCGGGGCCCTTGCCGCTCCTGCGCCTGCGCTTGGCGACTGGCTCGGCGCCTGCTGCGCCATCTGCCTCCTCGCCAGCGGCCGCCTCAGCTGCACCCTCCTCAGCCTCCTTGCCAGAGGCCGCCTGCGCGCGAGCCTTGCCCTTTGCCTTTGCCTTTGCCTTGACCTTAGCGCGGGCGACGTGCTCCGTCTCCGCGCGCTGGGAGCGCTCCTCTTGCTCGATGCGGTCCTCCTGCTGGGTGGCGCTGTACACAGGGATCCAGATGTTCGTATTGTTGCTGATCGGGCAAACCAGCCTGGGGGCGTTGTTGCGGATGCTCTCGCGCTCAGTTGGTTCCTTCACTTCATCCTCGAGCTTCTCGATGTTGATGTAGTCGCCCGAGGCTTTGAAAGACAGGGTGCGCCTCTGAATGCTCGTCCGCGTGACCGCCTCCGACATCGCCTTCCTCAGGTCATCCTTCATGAGCCCGGCCGCCCGCCCCATGAAGCTGGCCCTCGCGGCCTCTTTGACGTCGTTCCACCCCGCGATGGCATGGGCGCTGGCTTGGATGCGCGCGATGCGGCTCTTGAGGTTGTTGCACTCCGAACAGCGCCACTGCGACTTGTTGCCACTGAAGTCGCACTTGCCACGGACGTCGTTGCCCTCGATGAGGGCCTTGATCTTGTGGCAGCTGCAGCACTTGCGGCAAATGCCCTCGACCTCCTCGGTGTAGGCCAGCGGGGCGGGCTCAGCCGCGCCGAGATGAAGCCCCATTTCTGGGGCACTGTCATTGGCAGAGCTGCTTGCTTCCTCGGCCATTGCCCCCCGGGCGCGTAGCTGGCGCGTTCCCTGCAAGTCAATAGGGCGAGCCCACTTGACACGCGCAATGCTGCAATGTTGCGATATGATGTTTTGCGAGACCCCCGCAACTACCACTGCTACCGCGGTGTTTCCACGAAGGGGGGGTGGGGAGGGGGGGGGGCAAGAATTAACGCCGCCCTTCTTTTTGATCAATGCGGCCTAAGACGGCCCCAAGAGGCATCCCAGACCACTCCCAAGAGCCCCATGACGGCCCCCAGACCCCCCAAAAGAGCCCCAAGAGGGCCCCAAGACGCCCCTAAAGAGCCCCAAGAAGGCCTCAGAGGACCTCAGGAGAGCCCCAAGAAAGAGCCCCAGGAGGCCCCAAGTGGGGCCCAAGAGAATCCCAAGAGGGCCCCAAGATGCCTCAAAGTTTCGGAACGCTTGCGAGCTTAAGATACAAATCAGTGCAACAGCCATTGCGAGTCATCGAAATACCCCTCACCTCTCATCGAAGCACCATCGTAACTTGCACGGATGTCCATCTTAAACTTCCATGCGGGGAGCTATGTGTGATGCTTGTGTTCTCGAAGACGGCTGCGCGACTGCACGCGTTCTGCCGCCTTTCATTCACCACCTCCCTTGCTGATCGTTTCTGGATGGGCTGGTGGGGGTACTTTTTTTGATTGGCGGCTCCAAGGAGGAGTCCAAGAAGCGGGGCGGGCGCGTCTGGGGCACAGGGCGAGATAATTGGTTACGAAGGCGCCTAGGCCAACGTAACAGGTGCACCTGCAAGAGGCAGAATGCCCCTCATTAAGCTGCGAGCCACCCGTGAACGGGAAAGCAAACACCAGACAGGAATAACGGATAGGAGTCGCGGCGCGATCCGACGTGAGCCAACGACCATTGCATTGACGTCGAACCAGCCGCAGTGTCTGCGCCGTGACTGCCTGACCCGGGGCATGAACCACTTGAGCAGTACCAGGAGCGCGATGATGGCTCCCGCCCAGGGGTGAATCACGTTGTCGGCGAACAGCGCAGGCAGCTTACCCCGAGGGGTGGACGGGGGGAGCAAGCGGCGTGCGTCAATCGGGGGCCGTGGTGGATCAGAAGGGGGAACGTCGACAGACGAGCAAAGGGTGCACCACTTGCCGTGCCGCATTTATTCCAGGCCCAGCCCGCGGTAGTGCCGGGGCAGGCAGGGGCCCGAGCAGCCAGAGTAACACCAGGTGGCAGTGCGGCCCGCTCTCGCCACGGAGCGCTGCGGGAGATCCGCCAGGTGGTGCATAGACCCGAGTGCTCCACGAGCCTCGGTGGGGGGGAAGTCGCGCGTGGCCAAACCCACAGGAGGAGGAGAGGGGGGGGAGGAGGAGACGCAGCCGATAGCCGCAAAATCAGTTGAATGAATGGAGGAGGGGGAGGCGTCACCACAGCGAGTACAGCGAGACCCAGGCCACTGTGATCGCACCGCGCGACGCGGGGGACCTCGGTCACGGGGGGAACAGGGGCTGGTGGGGATACGCGAAGCGTCAAGAATTGCTGAGGGGCGGCGAAGCTGACACCGAGAGGCGTCCAACATTGCTGAGGGGCGGCGGAGCTGACGCCGAGAGGCGTCCAGGAAAACAGAAACAATTCCCGCATCACTTGTAAGTCGAGAATATAACAACGTCCTGCATCACTTGTAAGCTGATAAGAAAACAGCAACATAAGGAGAAGAAGGGGCCTTCTTGGGGTTGTGTTGAAGGTCGGAGCCTGCAGGATCCTCCACGCTTGCAGGCCTCTCCTGCTGGGCTATCTTGGGGTCCTCTTGGGGCCGGCTCGGAACGACTGGGCTTATTGGAGCCTTCTTGTGGATCGTATTTCTTGTCTGGTCCCCGACCTTGCGAACCTGACCTCAAGCCTTACGTGTTGGGCCCCCATTCGAGGCTCGATTGGGGCCTCCTTCGGGTGGCCTCTTGGAGCCTCATTGGGCGGAGACTCTTGGAGCCCCCTGGAGCCCTCTTGGAGCCTCTTGGAGCCTCTGTGGGTCCTCTCGGAGCCTCTTGGAGCCTCTTGGGGGCCCAGACCTCCACGACGCAATGGCGGGGCTTGCCAGCCAGAACAGCCAGAGGCAGAAGGGGCGCAGCTCGGGGCTGACAGCGGACAGAGGCACAAGGGACAACAGCGATATTGTTGTCCAACGCGGGCTTGTCCTCGCGTTAGGTCACTGGCCCCCCTGCAAACGCATTGCAACACTGGCGGGCGATTCGTCACGTGCACGCGCGCTACCGCATAGCACCAGAAAACAGCTAAACCCTCCCGCTGTCTTAAATGCGCCACGTTCCTACAGACTGCACCCGCGCCCTCTCAAGTCCGACTGCCCTGCTCTGAAGCAAGGCCACGCAGATGCGATGCGCCATTCGGAAGCTGATTGGGCGAAGAGGGTAACTTTCATAATCCCACCAGCCCTTTGGGCGACAGGTGGTCTAACGAGATTCCGCTTCCCTCTTCCAACAATCTCTTCTTCCCTTTCGGGAAAGGGCTCTCCCCTGGACCTGGACGGAGGGTTTCGCGAGGGGTTGGAGGGTCTTTTTTCGGACCATGCTAGTGCTATTTTTTGAGACCCCTCACAAGGATCGTGGCCCCCCGAGGGGGGGGCCGAACGGTGGCGCCACCGACCACCTCCAAGATGGCCCCAAGAGGCCCTCCAAGGCTCCCCAGAAGCCCCCAAGAGGGCCCCAAGAGCGCGCCAAGAAGCCCCCAGCTGGCCCCAGGACGGCCCGAGAGACTCCCAAGACGGCCCCAAGAGGGCCCAAAGACGGCTCAAGAAGCCCCCAAGAGCGCCCCAAGAGCGCCACAAGAGAGCCCCAGATGGCCCCAAGACGCCCAAGATACGACGGCCAAAATGACCCCAAGATGTTTCCAAGACTGCCCAATATGCACCCAAGACGGCCTAAGATAGCCTCAGGATGGCCCAAGACGGCCAGATATTGTCCAGGCGAACAAGCCGAAGGCCGATATATTGAGCGCCAGAGCCACAGTGCTCTCCACAAGGAACGTCGTCACGCGAGTGATCAGCGGCCGCATTCGATGACTGCATGTAGCTACTGCTAGAACCTGCGCCCTCGAAATAGCCGCCCCACTCGCAGCTGGGGTCGTGATAGGTAGTGATGCCTGTGGGTGCAGCGCACAAACACTTGTTCGTCGATGAAAGTCCAGTGCCTCCGCCGGGCGTCTCCTGCCAGCCCGATCGGCCCAGCAGGTGGTAGTTGCACCAGTAGGTCCAGGGGCCGCTATATAATCCACCTGCCCATGCTGCGTCTTGCTCAGCGCGGGGCACCTCTCTTGGCGCTCGCCCACCATGACGCCCATGTATGCGCATGCGGTCTCGAATTTCCTGGAATGCACCGTGAAGCATGTTGCAAGGGCCCCGTATGGTCAGCATGCGCCGTTTTCCTCGATCACGTAGCGTGGCCCAACATCCCGTCGCCTCAAACACCTCGCGCTGGTCTGAGTAAGTTATCGTGCCAGAGGGCGCGTGCATTGGCCCTAGCTTCCCTGGTGGAGGAACCCCCTCGGGGGGCAAAGGTTTTGCCGCCATGCCTTGAGCCAAAAAGGCTTCGCTCGCAGCGAGACCGCCCCAAAGAAGGCAGCGGAACAGCCCCCAGAGAGGCCGAGAGAGGCCAAGATATTCCCGAAGCCAACCGACGTTTGAAGCCCCAAACGGCCTTCAAGAGGGCCTCGAGAGGTTTCGATGATGTCCCGAGAGGGTTCCCTCCCCAAGAGTGCGGACGCTAGCGCTAGTTGCGCCGCTGTGACAGAGGCGCCAAGAGGGCTCCAAGAGGGCTCCGAGAGGCCCAGGGGGATCCCTATGAGGTCCAGAAGGGGTGTAGGCAATTTCGGGGGCCCAGGGGGCCCCAACGGATTTTGCAAGTCACTCTAGGGCGCGAGGTGGTCAGACCAGCACGGCAGACCATCGCGGCGCGGCAGCGCGCGCGGCAGGCCAGCACAGCAGACCAGCACGGCAGACCTCGATCTCGCGATCAAAACATCGCCCTTGTCAAGACATGGCCCCATAACTGCATCTTCCCAAGCGCACAGGGGGGGGGGCCTGACGGGAACAATCAGCTTTTGGAGTCGTCGTCGTCGGCGTCGTCGTCGTCGTAGCCGCATTGGATCAGGCCGTGCAGAGGCCCCTTGGAACCCCCGGCGGCCCTCTTGAGTCCCACCAGCCCTCTAGGCGCAGGTGGTCTAGGGCGTTTCCTTTTCCAACCTCCTGCATTTCCCTGCTCGGGAGGTTTACCCCCCCCCTCCCTGCGTTTGGACGGGGGGGGGCGGGCCCATAGCAGCGTCCAAGGTGGCCCAAGATGGCTCCAAGAGGGCCTCCGAGAGCGCAAGATGGCTTCCAAGATGGCCCAAGAGGGCCCACGGGCGTCCCACGACGGCTCCAAGAGCCAGAAGACGGCATTCCAATCAGGAGGCACGCGTGACGAGAGGGAGAGAGCGAGAGAGAGAGAGAGGGAGGGCGGGGATCCACGGCCGGGCAGGCGAAGGAGGAGGAGGAGGATTGGCATCAACCATGATGCAACCCCAGTATTCCGCAGGAGGAGGTGGGCGAGGCGGCCCCCTGGGGGATGTTTGTGATCGAAGGAAGAGGAGGAGGAGGAGGAGGAGGAGGAGAAGGAGGAGGAGGAGGAGGAGGAGGAGCAATAGTGCGAGGAGGAGGAGGAGGCGGAGGAGGGGAAGGGCACTACGCCTTACGCCGCCGAGCCGCGGGATACCTTTCTGAGGACGGGGACCAGGGGGAGTTTAGCCATCATTGCAACTCTGGGCGCTGCGTGAACACTGGGCAAATGACCCCTCCATCTACCTGCAGGTACGGAAGCACGCAGGCCACGCCAGACTGGTCAATTAAACCAACGTGGCCTGTTGGGCCCCAACTCGTTTGGTTGGGGCCCGTTCTCTCAAGCACATCGAAAACAACATACACGTTTCTACCAGGCCCGTCCATGCGGGACGATGACAACAATAAC